TTTTAGAATACGAATACTTCCTGGAAATGATAAAACGAAGTGTTCTGACAGAAAATCCTTCAGAATTAAAATCTCACCCTATTGATTTCCAACGAAACAAAAAAATTTATGATGCTTTAACAGAAAATTTCTCAGTAGTGAAAACAGAAGGTGACGTATCATGTTTATTCCATTCATTATCGTTATGCTTATTTGGGACACAGGAATTACATGAATGCATTAGAATGTTATGCTGTTATATTTTTTACAAAAACTGGTTATACTTTGAACACCCTGATAGAATGACATTTTTTTGTTCGAATATGCAAGTGTAAAAGAATTAATAAATAATACTGCAGGCATTAAATCGTGGGGAAATGAAGCACATATAAAAGCGATTGCAGCTTCAAGAGATATTTATGTTTATGAAGAAATAGAAAGTGATGGCATGAATAGGAGAATGACTTTACGGGAATTACAAGATAGATGTGATTCAGGGCTACTGAATAAAAATCATTTCCTGTTTATAAAAAATACTTTCAACAATGACAAAGATTCTGTGTCTTTAAAGATTCTGTGTCTTTAAAAAGCCCATATCTATATTATATACTGATGGAGGAACAAACATTGCACATTATTCGGGAATTTTACGTAAAAGTTTGAATGCCATTCTTTTGAAACCAAAATATAGACGAGTCGAGAGACCTACTGAAAGTTTACAAACTGTAGTAACAAGTGTTACAAACTTAGAATAAATATACAGAGATAAAAATACCACCACACTGTACTCATTTTAAACTCGGTAAAAACATGTTACAAATCAAAATTGAAAATTTAATAAGTTTCTTCTAAGTTTTTTTTTTTTTCTTTTCATTTGTTTATGGTTACATCATAATAATTTAAAAAACATAGATAAAAATAGATAAAGAACTTTAGATATATAAAAGGCCTTCGATTTATTTAATAAGTAATAAAGGAACTGTTACTCTATTCTAATCTTTGAGGTTGGATTCATAATTGTAAAAATAGTTGATGTTAATAAAAACGAATATTTCAGCAACTGTGTAACTGTCTACTTTAGTAAAGAACTGGAGGATCATATCTCACTTTCAAATGAAATAAGTTTAAATGAAATATAGCAAAAAATGTGTAGAATTTAATAGGCCATACAAGGAGGTCATGTGGTGTCCACATCAGATTTTTTAATTTTGTGAAATGAATACTTATATTTCCAATTAAGAAAAAATCATTTGCAACTGCAGGAGAGAAATAGTTATTTCCTCCAAAACCAAATTTTAGCTTTTTTACATTGAAATTGATGATTGATTTCTAGTCAATGTTTCTTCATTGCAAAATTTTTCTGAAATTTATAGGCCTTGTAACCTCTTCTTTCCTTTAAATGTTTTTCTTTTCTTGTAACCTTTTCTTTCATGTGCTTTTATTATCATTATTGATGTGGAATTAATGATTGTTAAGGATCAAGTGTTTTATTATTCTTTGTCTTATTTATTAAAATGTCATGAAGGTATTAATAATGTGACCTTTAGAAATGTCAATGAAATACTTTAAATCATTGAGAATTTTAATAGTTTTCAAATTTCCATTACCGTAATTTCCGGAAGAAAGGCCGCATCAGCATAAATGGCGCACTCGAGAAAAATGGCGGGAAAAAAATTAAAATTACACAGAAACGCCGCAATAGATTAAATTGCGCGTGACATCGTCGTCGGCCGTATAGATGCAAAAACTCAACCTAAGTCCTGATATATGACATACCAGTCAAGAAAAATGCATGAAATGAAACCATAACTCAAAAATAAATTAAAGGTAAGAAATGTGGAAAATATGTTTACCTTCACGTATATACTTATATTTACCCACTAAAGAAGTCCATATTTGTAATAATGATTGGGTTTCAAAAAATTAATTTCCAAAATAATCTTAGAGTTAAAATTAAGATAAAAGAAAATAATAAAAAAATAAACATCATGCTTCTAAGTTTGATTGCATTTCTAATACACAATGCTTATTTTATTTCCTTACACTTTGAACGAAATACATTCATGTGTTCTTGGCGCAGAATGTTTTCACATTTTAAACATTGCATTCACGTTCTTCTGTCCTTGGCGCACAGGCAATTTATCACATCTTTCACACTTAGTTGTTTCTAATTTTATGTATTCGTTTTAATTCTTCGTCGAAACTTCTGCTTTTGTTTTGCATGCAGTACGTCAGTTTTTTTGGTAAAGTATTAATCTCTGATCTTTGTTCAATACTTTTTTTCATTAATTGTAATGCTAAGTCCTTCAAAAAACAGACTTCTGTTTCTAGTTGGTGGATTAGCAGTTGAATATAATATGATTCAAGCATTTATTACAGCAACATTCAGTGCAGGAAAGAAAATTACCTTTGGCCACCTCCTGGTTATTCTGGCAATTGAATAATTGGCTAACATTTCATCTCCCATATCCACTGCTCCTTTAGTCATATTATAAAAACATATAATTCCTTACGTTTTATTTCCTCCAATAGTATCATCTATAGTATGATCGTTTTATAATGTTGAAAGCATAAGAACAGTTTTTCCTTTTTTAGGAACATTAGGAATTAATGTTTTATCTTTTTCGAAACCAACAGTGTAGATAATATTCCTAGTTTCATCTTCAGTTTCCGAAATGCAATCTTCATCGCTTTCAAATATTTCTAATAAATCTCGCAGGCGTTGCATCTCCAATTCACAGGGAGTCATTCTTTGTACCATAATGCGGTTATAAATTTTTAAGAATTTAATGTCAAATACTTTAAAATCACTTGTGAGTAGAAATATTTACTGTTACACTGTAGAAATAAATTTCTGAACTAAATATTCAGTCAGAAAAGCACTTATGCGCACAGGCGCGGGGGGTGTGTCATACCCCAGTTCCAACAAAATACTGATAAATCTTTTTCTGAAACACACAGGCAAAGAAAAAGCGGTTCTGAAAGTCAACTACAACTAGAAACTCAGCTACTGAATGCGGCACAGTGTTTCAGTTTCACAAGTTAGGAATATTCCACTTTTATGTAGGATGGGGTATGATACACCCCACGCGCTTTCCCGCGTGTTAAAAAGATTTACTAAATCCTGATCTAAGTCTTCCAGATCGTCACATTCATCCTCTTGGTTTACAGTCTCTTTATCTAAGGATATAATTTCAGCTTCTTTGAACCCTGCTATTATTTACGATGTTTCTGCCGATTTCCACGCACTTCCTGCCCACTTTGCAATTTCTTCATAAGATGCTCTACGCATTTTACCGCTTTTGGTTTATGTATGCAATCCTTCACTCATCCAACACTCCCACCGCTTTCAGACTTAAGCTTTGAAGGATTTAATACCTGACAAATCTAACCGTTGTAAGATTTTTGTCAAACCACCAGAAATTATTGCTTCAGTCGTAGACAATTTTTGACATCTGGTTTTCACTGACTTAAAGAAATGAGCACGCATGGAATCCATTATCAATAACCCCTTTGGTTGGAAAAAAGATCCCATACGACACTGCCAAACTTTTTGCAGCCTCTCCTGCATGATTGCTTCGCACATCTAGTCGTTCTCGTTTGCACAAATAATTACATCATTAGGAAAATCTCCCTTCGGAATAGTCTTTCGTTTAAAAATGATCATCAGCTTTAGCTTGTCACCGTTTGCGGCACAAGCTAACACACATGTAAATAACGTTCTTTCATGCCTCGTCATAAACACAGATACAGTTTTTGCACCAGTTTCATCAACAGTTCTGTTTGCAGGAGAGTCGAAAGCTAACGGCGTTTCAACCATATTTATTATCTGCGACTGAAGAAGTTTTTTTTGTCAATAATAGCTGTCACATATTTTAGAAAAGATGACTTTTTATCCTGCCAGTCCATTGGTAATTGTTGCCTGACTGTTGTTCTAGTACGCACAGAAATATTTTTTCTTTTCATAAATCTGCTACGCCTCCTTTGAAATCATTTATGTTCATTCGTTTTGCTATAAATTTTGCTTGTAAGCGAATTTTTACAGTTGAAATTGCCATTCCCTTTCCTTGTTGCTCCTTTATTCAGTTTGCAAGGTCGTCCTCTAGATGTGACCACCTTACAGTACCACTTCTTTTGGCTCGTTTCTGTTGTGGCATATTTTTAAGAAGTTCTTTTTCAGTTCTCCAACGTCGAATACATCTGTCGTCCACTTCAAACTCTCGCTGCTGCTCGATTTCCAATTTGTTCAGCACGTGAAATTACATTAAGCTGAAAACCAGCAGTATAGCTTCTGTGCCATTTAGGGACATTTTCAAAAATTTTCCGCTCCCTTCTTACTTAAAAACTATCCAACAAGTACTTGTACTCAAACTGATGGGATATGTATCTGGCAGAATGCCAAGAAAAATCCATTCATGCTGAAGGGGAAATACGTCAGAGTTCGTTATTGCGAGGCAGGTGGAGTCCGCCTTTGAATCGTGTCCGCCTTTGAAAAAAATTGCAGAAAAGGCAGGGGTGGGGAGAGGATGGGTCCTGGAAGATTCATCGAATGGAAGAGGAAAGAGACTATTCGAACTGATGAGAATGTTGATTTGAAAGGGGGAAGAATGTTATTGTTCTGAGATCTCGTTTAGGGTGAATAAGGCATGTAGGTCCGTTCAAGGGAAAGAATGTAAAAATAACGTTCGCAAAAAGCAACTGAGTGGTCTTTTGTGTGGGAACAGCACCAGTCTATGCACGACAAGGCCATCCAAACTATGTACAATGACCATCATAGGAAATATTTTATTTTTAGTGCACCTAAACGCCGCACCTGCTGAAAATTTAAGTTTTAAACACGTAAACGCCGCGGTGTTACTTCCGGAAATTACGGTAATATTATTTTACTTATTTTGGATAACAAAGGTCTGTTTTCACTTGTTTGTTTTTATAATTCAAGTAAAATTATAATGAAATCTCTTTTCTTTATATTTTAATTAATTAATTATTATTATTATTATTATTATTATTTTTTATTCCAGATGGATCACTTATAGAGTTGAGGCAAAAAATAAGCGAGGTAAGTACAGTTCATTTAGTAATAAGGAGTATTGTTCATTAGTGGCTGATTTTGCAGTTATATGGATTGTTTTAGCTTCCTTCTTTTAAAGTAATCTGTAATGTAAATTTGTGGCATTAAATGAATTATTATGTGGTTTTATTAAAGTAGTTTCTCTTCCTGTATCGGATCATGTAATCAGTGACCTGATTTTCGTGAAATTTCACCTACTGCATGTGTTTGTAATATATATTTGTATAGTATTGCTTGTTGTATTTTCAAAATCTGATATGCATATATGTTTCAGTTATTTAATGTTGAAAGGCTATTCTGTGGAGTCTTAGCATATATTTGTGCTTAATGACCAAACTAATCATTTAAGAATTTTGAACTTTGTACCATTGAAAAAATCAAAATTAATGTTCCTAATGAAAATTATTCCCAGTCTCTTCATAATTTATTGGTTTTTGGAGAAGTTTTCTAAAATAAATTGATTTTTTTATTATTACACAATATTTTAATGTTAAAAACTATTATTCATAGTGTATTGATGTATTCCCAGATTATAAAACCAACTTTTTATTTGTTTTAATAGAATGATAAAAGTTATTAATGAATTTCTTTCCTATTTTATCATGCAAAACTTTCCTATTTTGTCATGACAAAGTTTCAGCAGTGTGTTTTGTTCCTTTCAAGGTTATGCTATATCACTTGGAAATCACAGACTTTGAAAGAAAGAAAATTGCATATTTTATTATTATGTAGGTTCAAGGAAATAATTTCCTTCATTCAGAAAATAGTTTTTTCTTTCATTATTATACTTAATCAACTAAAAAGTAAAAAATAAAATATGCTTAAAAATCTTTCTTAATATAGTGTGACAAATGAATGACAAATTGTGACAAATGAATATTTTGTGACAAATTATACCATGCTAAAAATTATAAAATTAAGGATTCAGAAACGATTTAATTACTGTTTTCAGAAAAAAGTAATTTTGCTGTTATAGTAAATCAGTTCAATAGTAAGAATCAATCTTATTTTTTTAATATATGAAACATTTTAATTTGATAGGGAAATTTGACCCGTTTATATACAGATTTGATGGTCTCGGTTGGATTAGCAAGTGATTGTCATAGAGAATAATATTATAACTATTGATGTTTATGTATTGGTCATTTCGGTATTCTCAATAATACTGGTCGTATTGGTGGTCTTATGATGAAAGAAGGTTAGGTTATTCTTTATATGATAAAGTGACAAGGGCTATCTGCCTAAGAAGAGGTATGCCTTCACGGAGGACTTTCTGGGGGGGGGAACTAGCTACATATGGGGAACATAGAAAAAATGACCATGCAACAAGCCTGTTCACCTTTGTTAGAACCCAAAGCAGGTCAAACTGCCAGTATTCAGTGGTCTTAACCGGCCAGTGGTCTCCTGATACCAGCTATCATAGCTGGATGTCTGTTGAAGATAGTTGCAGGGTTCGTTGTCTATAATCTCTAGTACTTGGAATGTTACCTTTGTCAAGAAATCTTATCAAGCTTGTTTTATTATATACTTATGATATTTATCAATCATACATTAATTTATGAATTTATCTTTATTGGCCTTTGTTTTTCTCATATTTTTATATTGTGTTGCCTGTTATGTCTTTTCTGCTTTTTCCTCTGCTCAATTTAGCTGTCCTAGATATAAAATTTCTACGTTTTCTTATCTGGGGATTCTTATTCATGATATGTTTAATAATTCTTATCTTTCCTGAACACTTTTTTGACATAGTGGATATTTTAGTACACTAAATAACTCATTAATTTATTTTGATTTGTATGTATATTCACTTCAGATATATTCACTTCAGTATATCTATTCACTTCAGAAGCATTTGGTTAAAGTAGATAATTTAATGAAGTAGGTTATGAATTGTATGTGCAATTTGGAAATTTAAATGATAAAAAATATTATGCCTACAAATTTTGAGTTCAAATAAATTTCAGTTCCAGATTTTTGAAATTTTTTTTCAAGCAAAATTTAATTACAATCAAAATAAGAAACTTTTTCATTATTAGATGGTGTAGAAGGCTTTATTATTATTTTTTTTAAAATCTCTATATGTTATCTGAGAATAAGTGTGCTCTATTTTATCTGTTAATATTGAAAATAATATTTTGTAGAATATTCTAAACATAAAACAGAAAATTTGATCAATGTGCTATTCTTTTTAGGTGGATCAGAATTTAAAAAATATACAATCTAAAAAAGGTATGTATAATGCAGATATATTGAACATACTCAGCAATTTTTATATGGAGATTTTGTCCATCGTAATAAATTTATTTGAAATCAGATCAGTTTTCTAATTCATTTTTGTATAATAAATCACCTAATTATGGTTTGAACCTTAATAGAGCAGATTATTGTCTTTCATGTATATTGTCAGTTTTGATTTGAGTAGAATAAGGAATTTATAAACTGAAAAAGCGAATTTTAATTTGCAGCGAATAAAATTTAAAGTGAATTCTTGCAGTGAATAAAATTTAAAGCGAATTTAAAAACTTTCACATTCATTAGTTTCTAGTACTGAAGACTTGCTCAGTATCTTTTTTAAACTAATTAATATGGGAAAATATTATTTTTTCATTTAATTGGAAACACATTTTTGCATAGTTTATGATGCTTTGGAATTTCAGTATTTTACATTTTGCAGAAAATTTTAATACTGAAAACCAAAATTTTTATTTTAATACTCTGTTATTGAAAAAATAAATCTGAGATTAATTATCATCTGTTATTATTTTAATTATCTAAGATTAATTAAATCTATTTAATCCCTCCATCCCTGTTCTTAGCAACATGTATGAAAAATAGAAAACTTTTTTTTATCATCATCTGATTTCTAAGAATTTAATTAATTTAAAACAATGAAAATTATAAAATTGGGGAAATTTTGCATAATTTGATATCAGTTAAATAATTTTTATTTCCTTATACAAAGTAAAGGAAGTATTGTAATCATGAAAAATTCTGGGTTTCATATTTCAATGAAAATATCCATTTTGACCTCTATCAAATGCAATTTAACAATGTTTTTGCATGACATCTGTACGTAAGGACAGAATAATGTACTCTTTTCCCCAAACGAATTATAAAATATGTATTTCGCATAACTCAGAATGAGTGGTCTCGGAGCGTTGAAATTTTGTATATAACATGTAGATGTGCTCCTCCTGTTTTAGATGCAATCGGCTGCACCAAAAGTGACGATAATTACTGGGTTTATTCTTTTTCAAAGTTTGAATTTTTGTTATTCATGATTTAAATTCAAGTCCCCTTAAAAAAAAAATTTTTTTTTTCATGATTTACATTCAAGTTCCTTTTAAAAAACAATTTTTGGAATTAAAATTTCATACTTCTGGGTTACCTCATTTTTATACATTCTACTAAATTAAAAGATAATATAATCAATATTTCTTTAAATAAATTATTATTATCTTACTTTGTAGCTATTGTGCAAGTATTAGGAAAACTTGTTTTTGATTTCAGTGAATTTCAGTTCATTCAATATTATATAATTTATATATGTATATAATACCACTCTGTTACTTGGCTCAGTGAGCTCATTTTTAAAAATTCTTATGATAGTAAATTGTGCATTTTTTGCTTTAAAAATGATTGAATTATGTTTTTCTTATCTTCCGGTTAATGTTTTTGTGCCTTTAGTTAATTTGTATACAATATTTGTAGAATTATCAACAATTTAAAAGTTGTTTAAGTGCAGCTATGTCTAATTTTTTTTTGCCATAGCAGCCATGTTTGTGTGCATTTGAAACTTAGCAAAATAGTGAATTCAGTTTTTGCACCTTCAGTGTCTTTTTGCAAAGTGGGATGAAAATTAAACTTTCATTTTGTGCACCGAAATATCTGCCATATTGCCCGCTGACTGATTTTTGCTTAGAAAGTCTAATTTTAATTGTAAAAATTTGTTTTTCTTGATTGCTTTAACTGTGTTTGGTGTTTTATTTTTTCCTATATTTTTCAATTTTTAATGAAGATTTTTTGAGGTTTTATGCTTTTTTGTCGTGCCGCAAACTGAAAACAGAATTAAATGAATAAAAAATATATCTGTAATTAAATTCGAGGAAATAAGCTTAAATGAAGTGCCTATAATTTAATATTCCACACAAGGAAGTCATGTGGTGTACACATCAGATTTTTCAATTTTACACTCTTAAAGCGGATGACTTTTGTAAAAGATTTTCCAACATGTTTTCCTGTGATAATGTTAGAAAAGCTGCGGGATACGTTTTCATTGATATATAAAGAACATTTTGGACTAATATTTGGAAAATTTGTTATTTAAAAAAATTTTGAAACCTAAGTGGCTTTTGATTTAATTTTTAAGGTAATATTTCTCTAAAGAAAGAAAGCTAATTCTAAATCTTCAATAAATACTTAAAGTGTATTATTTAAATTAAGAAATTCACAATTAAATTTGCAGCAGTTTAATTTTATTCTGTTTTTGACATGAGTAAAATCCTGATAATTAATATGCTGTGTGTACTTTAATACTGTGTTATATATGTATTTAACTGTATTTGTATTGTATGATAACAAATATTTATTTATAAAATAGAGGTTCGAAGGTCTGCAAGTGCCACAAATACTGATGAAACATGCAAGGAAATTAATTCAAATGTTAGTATGAAGAAAGAATCTCTGTCAGTGGTTAGTTCTTTTTCAAGTCATTGTGTAGTTCAGAATATAGTTAAGCTGTATCTAAAAATATATGAACTTTATTTATGTATTTTTAATGTGTATTAAAAGTAACTTTTTCATTGTACGCATGCATACAATGTTTTATATTTAGAAATAGATGTGTGACATTTATCTTGATATCAAAATGCATTTAAAAAAGATGTAAGCATGTTCTGAAATTCAATTATGTTTTGAAAATCAAGCTTATTAACAGAGATTAACTTTGTTCAGTTTTTGCTAATACTATGTGTACATTTTCTAATCAAAATTTTCTTATTTGCTCTTTTTTGTTTGCTTAAGCGTTATACAGTGTCTTACTTGTTGGGGCATTATTCACTTTGTTTAAACATTAGATAAATTATTAATATCTGTCCATCATATCTGAGAGAGTTTTAGTCTTAAAAGTTGAAAGCAGTTTTTAGATGGTTGCTTGATTTCAGTCACACTGGTTGAAGTTATCCTAACACTCCATGAAAGTGTTTTAATTTCCTGAGTGACGTGATTGCCTTTATCCGTTGATGAGAGTTTTTGTCACTTGGTATATATTAGTTGTTAATTTAAAAGCTCTTGTTTCCTTATTTTCTTTAATGCTGTAAGTATCATTTTAATGAATGAAAATTTGCAAATACAGAGACTAAACTACATAATTATGCAAATTTTGCTAAATCTATTATTTAAATGCAAGTTTTCAAATCATGTTCCGATAAACCATGTCACTCAAAGAGTTAAATTGTGCTAACTTTTTTAGCAATTGCCATAAAATTTTTAATTTTTTGTCATAATTCTGAAAAATCATGCAATTCATTCTTAACACTTTTTAATTTTCTTTCATTTGGTTTTTTTTAGGGAAGGGGATTTCTCTTATTTAGTTGGTACAAATGACTGGAGATATATAAAGACAGTTTTGTCCATTTGCTGACTGTAAAGTGCTTGTGTTTTGCTTAGGAAATAGGATAAACTGCCAAATGATGTAGTTGTTAAGCTAAATTGATCCCTTTCTAAATCAAGAAGCTAGAGCACCATATTTGTTTAGCTGATTTCTGGGTCTGTAAAAATGAACTTTGATTGAGTTCTCAAATCTGGCTGTTTTGCAGATTTCCAAGAATTTGAATGTACTTATGCATTCTTGTTTTGAATAATTAAGTTTTTGGGGTAGAAAGTATTTGTTGGTCTTGTAGCAAATACTGAATTTCATGCCAGATATCTAATAGGTAGGTAGATTCAAATGTTTCCAGCTTCACTAATAAATTCTTCTCACAGGCATGTAATGTGATAATACTAAAGGTATAAACATAAAGCTTTATTAGAGAAATCTTAAACATTCTTTTTGGACTGTTTATTGAATGAAGCATGTATTTTCATCTCTGTACTTATGAATTCTATTTATTAAGATGATATTTACATCATTAAAGAAAATAAGAAAGCAAAAGATTTTAAATTATTAACTAATATATACCAGGTGACAAAAAAATCCCATAAATGGATAAAGGCAATCATGCCACTCAGGGAGTTAAGACACTTTCCTGGAGCTTTTGGATAACTTCAACCCATGTGAGTGAAATGTGCTAGGTCTGTTTGTTTTTAGTCTGTTTTGCTAGGTCGTGTTCATTCTGTGATTAAATTTTCATGTTTTCTTTTTTCATCTCTTATTTTAAATGAGAATTTTATAGTGATATCTTTAGCCTTGTAAAGCTATTTTCCATTTTTCATCTTCAACTGTTTTGAAACTCCAGTAAAGGTCAAAGGCTGTATCCTACATTTGTTTTGTAGATAAAAAATAAACCATGAAAATAATAATGGTATTTTTTAATGTATCTCTTAATCAGCATTCTAGAATTAAAGCTGGATTTTATGTGTACTTTTATTTAAGTAGTTTTTAGTATAGTCTTTACAAAATTCTTAAACCATTACTTTACAAATATTATTTTCCAGTGTTGCCATTCAACGTGATGTAATATCTATAAATTATCTTTCAAACTGTTATTGCTTAATAGACTGGAAAGCCATGGAGCTTTTAATAATTTTGTATAAAATGCACTGAATTTATTGTACATCCAGTTTATTATTAAGGACACTTACAGCATTATTTGAATTAATAAAAGATATTTCCAACATCACATATTGCATATCTTGGCACATATTTTTTTAAAGTTTAAAATATATTTTAGAGATATGTGTATAAATTTAAATTCATGCCATGTATATAAATTTTTAATTCATTCCAGAGGTCCAATTCTGGTGGACTGAAATGTATGTATCCGAGTGAAATGAAAACTTATGCAAAGGCAAATATTGCATCAAAACTTTCAACAAAAATATATGTGAAAGTACCATTTCAGGTTAGTGTATTTATTTTTGAATACAAGTGAATGCTATTCACATATCTTCTTAAAAAATAAGTATAAATTATAAGATATCCAAGCTTAAAAAATTTGAAAATGGCAAAATGTATTCATAAATAATTTGAGAGGACAAATTGTTGGCAAATATAATTTAGTACATATATACCTTTCTTTTTCTTTAACAAAGGAAAGCAACACTATGCATACAGAAATTGTAATGTTGCTGATTATGAATTCTCTGTGCAACTTAAATGCTCAGTGATTGGCAGAAAATCATTAGTTACTGGGATGATCATATCAAGTTCTGAATTGACACAAATGTTCATAGGATAAATAAGTTAGTGTCAGAAAGTCATTTTACCTCTTTCTTAAAAGTAGTCATAGGCTATTTAAAAAATATTTTTTAATTGCATCTTTAGTACACAGTTATTTTTATGGATTGTATTCCATCTGAAGAGTTCATTCAAGAACCAAACTTAATTTCTCTATTCGAAGAGCTGAATAGTTAAATCTTGTGTAAATTAGCAGAATATTCTAACTTGATAGTGTTGGCATCAAAGTATCTAGAAGGCAAAAAATTGTTTGATGATGCAATGGAGGTTAACCGAAAGAATTTGCCATTTTAATGTACTTTCTTTGACTGCTAATTATTTACTAATACAGAAGACAAACAACAACAACAACAACAAAACAAAAAAAAAAATTTGCGGTTTTGCAGCTGAGATTTTCAGCATTCATTTGCGGTTTTGCAGCTGAGGATGGTGGTTCGGTAAAACCATCGAAACTAGTCCTGTGGAAATTTTGTAAATATAACGCTGATTCTTGTTGTTTGTCTTCTGAATTAGTATTTATTCGGCGTGTTATTGTGTCTTAATTATGCTAATTATTTATTTAATTTGTGTTTCCATTAATTTACTTTATGCTTAGTTTATTGAAATACATATGTTTAAAGATATGCTTATAAATATTGAAGTGTAGCAATGAATTATTGGTTTTCTCTTTTGGGTTTGATGACAGATTTCAGTTTTAATCTGCAGTCATGAAAATACTCCTGTATTATACAAAACAGTTGCAAAAATGCTTCTATGATAATTCTGTTTGAAAGGTATTATAAAAAGTAAAGAAGAAATATATGTATATATGTATTTCTTCTTTAATTTTTATTGCATACATGGATGATGAAACACAAATTGAATAATTGAAGAGTTAGGTTTGGAGGCAACTTCCCCTTGATAAGTCTGTCTCCTGCCTGCTCAACAATTATTCACTTATGCATTTTTATAAATTTTTAGGATTAAAAAATTTATTGGAATTATACATTTATTATATATTCATAGATTTTGATACTTGCACTTGCTTTACATATGCTCTCAGAATGTAAATGATATTGTAGATTAGTTCACAGCAATAATTAATCATTTATTTGTAGTTCAATTTTATTTAAAGTTTAATTAACTTTAAATTTGCTTTTTACGAATAGAGAATGTTTGTTAAATTCATAATTTAACTTTACTATATTCTTTTGAAACAATATATATATATATATATACAAGTACAAAGTTCGAGATCCGGACGTCCAGTTATCCGGACTGACCTAAAATCCGGACCACCACCAACCTTTTTTAAGCTTCGCATATTATTCCCCCCCATAATAAAACATGCGGAGAGTCCCGATTCTTAATTTCACTTCACCACTAAATAAAATACCTCATTATTGAAGAAACAATCATTTTAGCATAAATTTGTGCAATCAATAATTTGATTCTGTAGCTGCATATCTGCTTGTCACACATCTCAAAAGGAAAATTCTACATAGAAACATTGTTGATTTTAAACACCATATAATATTTTATATCCCTGACGCGAACCTGGCGAATCAGTATTTATTATATTTGGCTTTCATCGTTGCATGTTTATCAGCACATGACAACTTATGCATGCAGCGATGTTTGAAATACTTTTTTTTTTTTTTCAATAGTAATTGAATAACAAAGAGTATAGTAAACTTCTCTGTTGACATTACACTTGGCAGTGATTACAGATTTAAGTTATTGCGCTAAGAAATGCTGACAAGGAAACATTTAACAAAAATTTCTACCCATATGGCTAAAAATAGATTTTGTTAAGGATACTCATAGGCCAAAGAATTACATTTAGTGCTATTTAAATTAAGACTAACTGATTTGTTATTCACATAAACTCAGACCCTGTGCCAGAGCTTGTATGGCCACACCAGGTGTTGGAACCTAGAGAAGACAAAATTTTTTGAATTTAGCGAAAGCAGCGGGACCCAAAATTTAGAAATAGACAAACATTTAGAACTTAGGGAGGGGTTTGTTAGAAAAATTTAGGACCTGCAAAGACTGCATCAGGCAGTAAAATATCTAGCACCGGCTCTTGATAAGCCTTAAGTATATGTGAGAATTCATATATTGAGGACTTGGATAAGTCCATGCATGTGCAAGAAATAGATGTAAGTGTGATAAATAACTAAAATAATAGAATTCAGGCTTAATTCTACAGGCTCAGTACACGATTTACACATGACAAAAATTTAGCGAACATGACAAAACATGACAAATGTACACATGACAAAAATTTAGCGAATCAACTTGTTCTTTGTCACCAGTCTCATGACAGCTGATACTATATTAGTGATATATTATAGTGATACTATATTAGTGATAATATATGTGTGTATATTAGTATATATATGTGTATATTAGCATGCATGTCTTTGTAGGTAATGAACATTTTTCATTAGGAAAGGTTTTTCTCCTTTTGCTCTACCCCAGAGTAAGATGTAGAAGTTATCAGTAAATTTCTTTAAATATAATTTCCATATAATATGTCAATTTATTAGAATTTTTTTTTTTTTTTTAGTTATGTGTCGGAAGTAACTTGACCTTCATTTTAATGTTTATTATTTTCTTTTTATTAGCTTGTACCTGATAAACGAATAGAGTTTGTGAAAAAATTAGACAGTGAGTTTCAGAATTGGCCATCATTTGGTAATCCAAGTATTGAAGTTTTGCAGAAAACTTTGCCAAGGATGCCAAGAGTTTATGTCAGAGATCCTTCAAAAAGTTACACCTCACAAGACCATGAAGCTTTATATTTAGGTATTTTTTAGAAAAATTTTATGTATATCTTAGAAATTTAAAATAAAAAAGATATGTTTTGCAATTATTTTCTTGTCAACACTTTTATATTTTCATGAAGAAAAAATGTGTAAAGCGAAATTCTTCCAGGCAGTTTGAAATTTGGTATGTGAAGTAGATCAATAAGAAAAGAAATTGATTTCTTGTAAATCCACAATAGAAGCAAAAGAATTAGGTACAACTTATTATTGTGGCATAGATGCTTAAATTATATAGATAATATTCTGTATTATAGCTTGCAGGCAAATTTTAACTAATTGGTCATCTTGTCAACTTTCGAGAGTTCATGCAGGTTACTTCCCATCGTGTTCCTAACGTCTCAATCAAGGAAAGGTGAGTCAATCAGGCTGGATATGTTAAGGTATTGCCATTATAGATTAGCCTGAAAAGGTCCTTGCTGTAAGTGGTTGAGTGTAATCTTGTTGAAAAAGACCCAAAATTTGTTTCAAAGGAGGGTAACATAGCAGTTGAAGGATGTAATTGTTATACTTTAGATTCTGTTATGGATGTGGAACAGAATGGAGGATTATCACGAGTGTCTAGCTGTTATAAGAAAAGATTACTCATTTTGTGACGTCTGATATGAATGTTGTGGGGTGTTCTTCAGCAAAATCAATATCTGTGTGCTGTATAACTCATCATTAAGCTTTTACATGTTATCATTGGTACCAACTGTAACTAATCATTAGAAACCTTGCAAATATACTGGATATTATTTCATGTTGATTGGTTCAAACACTCTGCATTTGGTGCTAGTTATCTTGCTGATCTTCAGTATGCAATAGGGTGACCTTCTGTATTAAAGACCCAGTCAACTTGTTGTCTGGCAGTAATTTGGAGCAGCATTTGCCTAATTATAGATGATTATCAGATTATCGTAAATGGTGGAAAGCAGTGTTGTAATGTTGTACACTTGAAACAAATGCTCTGTCCTGATGTTTTTGCCTTGATTGGTGTAGTGGTTAACCATGTTGTCTGCCATGTTGTTGGGTCAAATCCTAGGGAAGAAATGAGATTTGTAAGTGTAGCATGAGTGTCTGTGTAGTATGAGGGCACTTAAAATATTGACAAGCCCAAAACCATCTCGAGTGGTTTGGTGGTAGGAGGAAAGAGGTAAGAGGCCTTGGTATCTGACCAAGGCCTCTTACCTCTTTCCTCCGTTAAAATTGAAATGGAGCTGAACAATTATTTTAGTAGGATTATATCCTTGCAATCAATGGTGAAGTTTTAGTGTCCTTGCCTACTTCTATCTGTATTTATAATGTCACTTTGGCATCCATTGGAGTAGCTCACTGGCTGAATGACATTTGATTGCTTCATTGCTATGAGCCACATGCCAATGGTAACAAATGGAACAATTAACCTTGCTTGCATTATGCACTGCTCGGAGAACATGTATCCTTTCCAACCACTGAGACTCCAGCAACCTAAGGCTTCTGTTTATGGTTGTTAGTTTTTTATCATTATGCACTTTCTTTAATGCTTAATTTATGTATGTTTGCTGTGATCTTATGTGATCAGTTGTGATTTCCTAAAAAGATTAACCCCTTAACTGCCGCGGGCGTATATATACGCCTTGCTCAGCCGATGCGTTAACTGCCCCGGGCGTATATATATGCACCATTCTAAACTACCACCATTTGCTTTGCGCTGCTACCTGTAAAATTATTCACAAAGCTCTGGAATGCAACACCACAATGACCTTGACAAAGTATGCGAAGGAGGATACTATTTCAGAGATGTGTGGGGAGAAATTGGAGAGAGGGGTGTGTCTAAAGTGGTGAAAGTAATGACTGCGCGGTATTGGCTGGTTTTATTTAAGTAAAACATTTTTTTTTTTTTTTTTTTTTTATTCTGTGTCCTCCATTTTGGTTTTTTTTTTGTAGTAGGTTCCAGGAATAAAGAAAGATATAACGATGTTTCAAACCCATTTATCTTTTTCAAGTTATTTTTTGATGAACTGCTCGTGCTTCATATTGTTTACTGAAACTAACCGTTTTATAGATGAGTATACGAACCAACACCTTGCAAACGAAAAATCAAGAACAAAATCATGGCATTCAACCAGTTCAGAAGAAATATATGTTTTTTAGGCATACTGATTTCACAAGGTATAACACTGAAACCTGATATTACACTTTACTGGTCTAAAAATGAATTTATCAAAACTCCATTTTAGGGATCTTTTTTATTATAAAAATATAATTTTTATTATACTTGCATCTTTTTATTATACTTTTACTCAAAACATTAAATTTTGTGCATTTATTTTCTTCTTTTATTCTTTATTTTGTGAAAGTAAACAGTTTTTAGAAAGTAAAACTTGCACTTATTTTCCCCCTAATACATCGCATAACTACGTGTGCCTGTGTGAAAAAACCATGGCACTGGGAAATGAATCTTGTACATTTTCCGTGGCAGTGCAGTTAAGGGGTTAAGAAATTATTATTAAATAATTTTCTTTAGTTCTGCGTTATATATTAGTGTATAATAGAGTGCCATCGTAAGAATATGAATTTTACATTTAAGTAGTAAAAAAAAACATTATTTCCTTTTAAAATTTAGTTTATTTATAAAGCAAATATTAATTAAAATGCTTGTTATATTTTTATGTCTGCAAAATTCATATGAGTATCTTTTGATCAGAAAATCTGTAAGTGAATTGCTGGAAAGAAAGAAATAAAATTTATGAAGAAAATCAAGAAAAAGTACAAAATACAGTTTAAGGAAATAAATAAAATTCCTGCTTAGAAATTAATGCATGTTACATATATGAGGAAGGATTGATGATAAGCATAACTACAACTCATGAAGTTAAACTAGGATTTTTTTATTTACATTAGAATGAAAAGAAAACTAAAAAGAATAATCGTCAAAACATTTTGAACACGTCTGTCCTCACTATCGTTCACGTCTCATCTCATCTGACCACACCCTAATCTAGATGACGCTCATACATAATCTTAGTTACAGTTACAGTTCCCATATAATTCGGCCATACGACATAGTCATCTGCCCTCAGATGACAAGAGCAAACAGTGAAATTTAACATATAAAATAAAATAAAAAGAAAAAATAGTAATACTGTTAAACTATAAATGAAAATACTAAATTAAAGAGATAAATGAAAATAATATTCTGTCTGGATCTTCTATTAACAGCACCTAGACAAATAGAAAAAAGTAATAATTAGTAGTCATAATCAAAGAAAATATGGATAAAGTCCAAAAGTCTAGTGATGAAGTCCAAGGTTTCATAAATTCGGCGCAAGTACTTGTTTTCACAGGTCCATCGAAGAAACCAGATTTTTCAACATCGTAAGTGTTATTTGGCTTGATTTTCATGATTTTATAGGGTCCGAGAAACTTGGGTTTCAGTTTAAGACTAGGTCCATATTGTGTACGCTTGATTGCCACTAGATCATGAAGCTCGAACTTACGGGATGGTTTACGTTGCAGATTGTAAGTTTTACGATTTTCAGCCTGGACTTTCAAAATCTGTTGTTTAGCTTCCTTGCGAAGATCATCACGAGCATTGATGAAATCTGAATGGATCTCTTTGCATTTAACAATTTTGTCATGATTAGTAGATTTCATTTTAGTTCCAAACATGAGTTCGAATGGAGTTGTGTTGATACTTTGTTGGTATGTTGAATTGATCACTTGCTGAACTTCGCCGACGTATGTATACCATTTTGATGGATTTTGAATCGATAATTTGGAAAGAACAGAATTTATGACAGAATTCAATTTCTCAGTTTGTCCATTGGCACGAAGCAGTCCTGTAGTAATTTGAATATGCTGAATATTGTTGGTTGAACAATAATCTTGAAAATCTTTTGAAGTAAATGCTGATCTTTTATTTGAAATGATACACGAAGGATTTCCAAAGACAAATTTTTGATTTTCCAATTTAGATATTACTTCGGCGCTATTAGTAGATTTTGTCGGATAAAGCCATACAAACTTTGTGAAAGAGTCAATAACAGCAAATATATACTTGTCATTTTTTATGAGTACTCTGGAGTGGTGCTAAATCATCAATGTGATATGTTTGAAGCGGTACATCTTGTTTGGGTATAGAATGCAATATACCTTCTTGTTTACCACATTTAGGATTAATTAGTATGCAAGGAACACAATTAGCAATATAGTTGTCAATTTTATCTTTAAGTTTAGGAATATAAAATTCGTGTTTGATGAGTTCTTCAGTTCGTTTAGAAGCGAAATGTCCACGAAGATATGTGTCCTTAATTATGTCACTCTGCATTGATTCTGGAATAACAAGTAATTCCTTACTGTCTACAAATTTATAAAGTATATCAGCTTTAACACAATAGTCATCATAAGTTTTAACTTTTAAGACTTCTTTGATAGCTCGGATGTGAGCATCTTGCTCTTCAGCGTTTCGTGTTTTCAAAATGATGCTATCCTGAGTGATGACCATAACAGAGGATCTGCTTAATGCATCAGCGTGTGTCATCAACAGTTCTGTGCTCTATTTCGTAGTTGAAATCTTCTAACATCAATGCTCAACGTGCTATTCGTGTATTTAAGTCTTTCTTGTTCATCGTCATTTTGAACGCATTACAGTCAGTAATAATTTTGAAGTGTTTTCCTAAGTAAACTCTAAATTTTTTCAAAGCATTACAGCCAGTACCTCAAGTTCGTAACTGGTGAATTTCTTTTCCGCATCAGATGTCTTTTTGCTCATGTAATAAACAGGATGTTGGCAATTATCAGTCATAGATCTTTGCATGAGTATACAACCATAGCCATGGGTACTGGCATCAGTGTGTATTTTGGTATTGCTGTGCTGATTATAGAGGCTGAGTACGGGTTTTTCACATAAACGTTGTTTCAAAAGATTGAAAGCTTTTCTTTAATTGTCCGTTATCTTTTTTAAGGAGATCAGTTAATGGTTGAGCAATTATGGAAAAATTGAGAATAAATTTACGGAAA